CAACATTAAACAACACTTGAATGAAAAAGATCTTAAACATCCCTGTCAGTGCAACTGGTTCAATAATATGTAAGGGTAACGTTCCTGGAATCACAACCAAATCATGTGCATTTGATTCCAAGGACATGCACAATGAAGTATGGAGATGAGACCATCATGATATGCTTCTCTACAAACAGTCCCGGGGCATTACACGTCATCAAAGGAAACAGGAATGGAGAAATGTACTGGGACATATTAGAGGAGAAATTATGAAAGCTCATCTGCCAAGAAACTGAATCTGGGGAGAAGATGGATATTTCAAAAAGATAATGACTCCAAACATACAGCCAAAATAACTCAAGACTGGATTCTGAAAAGGAAGGTGAAAGTGATTGCATGGCCTCTGCACTTCCCCTTACTTGAATTATTTTGAAAATGAATGGAAAAAGTTGAAATTAGGCATCCATCATAGGGACCCTTGGAGACTTGAGGAACTGAAAATGGTTTGCCAAGAGGTACGGGCCAAAACTTAACCAAAACATTACCAAAAAGCTAATTACTTCTCACCTGCGTAGTCTCAAAGCTGTAACTGCCAACAGTGGCTTTGTGACAAAGCACTAATTTTATTTGTGGTGTTTGAATGTTTTTTTGTTTTTTTTTACTCTAATCTGTTTTTTTTTAAATAAATCTTTGTTTATGCTCATCAATATTTACTTTTTGTTTATATTTGTAAGGAAAAAGTCATTTCAAAATCACATTTTGTGTGGGCAAAATGAAGCAGATATATGCACTAAAAACATATTAAATAACAAAAACAAAAGTGTATAAGTGCTTGTTTAGCCTCACTGTAAGTCTGTATCACCAAATATCCAGGTACAGATTACCTCATGTGCAACTGAAAATGAACCAAAAAGAACACAAACAAATATAACTCAAATATACTCATTGTTATCAGGACATTCAAATACCATTATTTAACATGGATACGAAAATAGTAATGTTTAAAATGCCTGTGTGACACATTCTTCAGCCTACAATCTGATCAGTGCACATACACACAGTGAAGTCTAGTCAAACACACACCAACATCCAGCGCTGTCTTCAAGCGTTCACAGTGGACGTCTTTAACCTGACTTCACAACCACTTGCCCATTAGTTTACAATATGTGCAGGTCTCTGCAAGCGAAATGAACAACACCAAAACACAAAAAGCATGCTGTGACTAAGCCAGGGGCCATTACAGTAGCTTTAGCCTGCTCAAAAACACATGAGTCACTTACAGTAAGGGAGGATGAGAGGGCAAACCTGACTCATAACAAGAGAGAGAGAGCTTCACAGCTGCTCCAATACCACAAACAACCTGTCTCCATTCTACTTACAACACTGAGGTGGTGTTCAATACTATGGAACTGGATTCTTGGGCTTAGAAGCGAATCTCTGGCCCTACTTAAAGTGCACAGATCAAGATGCCTACTACTACTACTTTTAACTGCTTAACATACATCTGTCCAGTTCTATTGAAAACAGTGTGTCATTAAGTGTCAGAAACCACATAAGCACATATTTGAGATTACTTAACAACTCAACATAATCTGAGTGAAGAGTGTGCTGATTTAGGTATGCAATTTGCACAATGCTATTAGCTTCCGTTACTTGTAGCTCCATTACAAAACTAAAGAAGCAAACATTTGGGGTGAGGAAGAAATTGATGACTTCAAGTTGAAGCTTAGTTTTGCTAGCAGTGAATCCTGGGGTTTCGTTATGAAACATCCGGATGTGACAGCTGATAGTATCAGTTTTTAGTGGGGATGTGACAATACGGCTACCAGTACTTGCTGAATACTGACATCAAAGCTCGCTGCTGGGTAACAGTACAGTGGTTATTGCCAATCACAGATATCATCATCCACACAGAAACCGGATATAAACTGAGTGTGAGTCAGCAACAGCATGAAGCCTAACAACCAATAAAATTAGCTTTGACCTGCTGGGACAAAGCCAAACTACATGAGCAAAAATTGCACAACTGTTCAACACATTTACATGGAGGGATTACATAAATTTATCATTTGAGTAGAGTAGAAAGAAGACTTGGAGCTCAGTATTTGGAATCAATAGTGGCAATGGAAAAATCCACCAGTCCTAGTTCTTGGCCTTTACACAAGAAATGAATTCAATGTTTTACAGTTTAATAGTCACAAAAGTCTAAAAATATATATAGGAAACTAGGATTTTATATGAACAAATCAGCTGTTCACTAATGTTATATACTTCCATTCAAATGTTTGGAATCACTTGACATTAACATTTTATATACAATAATAATATCTTATACAGTGTGGATTTAAATATTACAAATTATTTGCCAAAAGCTATTTCAGATGTTTTATTCAATATTTCAAGAATTCTGGGAGCAAAATATATCAAACAAAAAACAACATAATTATCTACTTACATTCATGTTTGTCAAATTACCTGAGATTTGATCTCCACTTTTGAAATATGAGTCATTATAAAATCACCTCCATTCATCAGACATCAAACATTTCTACAATTTTATTTACAGCTCCCTAGTGTTTGAAACCTGTGAACAGGAGCAGCACATTAAAATCATTTTATACGCTTTTCTTCAGCCAAACTGGTTTTATATTATCAAGAACACTGATTCCAAAATCATGCACAGTATGCAGTGTACATTGTGTGATAGTCCTCATTCCAAACTGGCTTTGTTGAACCACAGTGTCAACATGTTAAGTGTTCCGGATATAAACACAGAATTATAGGCTGGGGACAAAGCTTGTCATGACGTTCACTTAATTAAAATGTCACTAGCCTAGCCTAAAAACAACAGGCTATAGGCCAAGGGCGCATAACTCTGATGTTGGTAGACTGGTGTCTAGCACTGTTTGGTGATTTCCCTACTCAACCACACCTGATTCAACTAATCTATTGGATGCCAAGTTTGAACTCCCACTAAATCTAACTCAAATGTTCAAATGCTGAAGGGGTTTTGTTGAGATACTGGCCCATTTTATCACATCATGAAAAATTACCAAATTGTGATAAACAGAACATTTGATTTTTCCTAAAAAGGATGTGTGAAATATAAAGAAAAAGTAACCCTACTGGACCAAGACTTAAAAAAGTTGAGTAAAAAATGTGGACAAGCTGCCGGACCAATTTCAAATCGCTGTAGTAAAGGAAGTTTTGCAATGGGCAAAACTATATATATATATATATATATATATATATATATATATATATATATAGCGCTATAAAAGAATAACTATTTGGATCTATTTCTGAGCTTTTTTGCTCCGGCGAACAGCGAACTGCAGTGTTTTATTACTGACAGAAGAAGAAACCATAATGACAAAAGGGGTTAAACACATGTCAAAAACACAACTAAGACACAAACTAGACTTGAATATTGGCTGCTGAAATGCCCAAAATGCACGTCTCTAAGATCTAGCACCTTCTTCTGACTGTATTTCAGCGGGGTTTATGCTTGTTTAATAGCTGCAAAGCACTTCTCTGACACCATGAATCTGAACACATCAGAAAACCTGAGCTCCTCCAGGGCTTAAAATATTTCTCAGCATTCATCTGTTCAGTGAATATTAAATGAATCATTGGTGCAACCGCAGCTAAGTATTTTTTATGTGTAACAGACAATTTATGCAAGTGTTGCTGTTGCTGGTCATTCTCCCGTCGTCTCCTTCATTCTCTCTCACTGTCCCTCGACCAGAGCTGTGTTTACGCAGCAGTCAAATTAATTTTTTTTCATTCAATTTTTTTTCCAAATGAATAAAAATAGTAATTTTTTGTTTTTAATGGGGTGAAATTTACTTTGGCAGGTGTGAATAGACCTGGGTACACCTCCAAAATATTTGTGTGGGAAACACTGGCACGCAAAGTGCACACAAGCACGCTTTCACCCAACCAAACATGTTCACATGGGTACCAAAAATTTACCCAAAAAATAGTGCGAGAGTGAGACAAAATGACCAAATCAACAGAGAAAAAAATAGGTCTGCTTGTCTCAAAGAGTAGTGAATGGTTTAGGGGTATGGGGCAACTGCTGTTGGCATAATTAGCACCATGCATATATTATATATAGTCATTAAGTTCTCAAGCTGAAAAACACTAAAATGAAGAGGACATGAATTTGAAGTCGTTAGAGATGAAATGAGAGAAAACAAGCAAAGGGAGAGGGGGATAGACTTCAGAGAGAGAGAGAAAGAGAGAGAGAAGACGACAGCTGACGCAACACAGCAAAGATGTCGGCCAGAGAGGAAAGAGGAGGTAGCAGTGGAGGAAGAGAAACAAAAAGAGAGAGAGAGAGAGTAGAGGAACACGTAGCAAAGCACTGCTGAAACTGGGGAAAGTGAGAAACGCAAGGGGAGGGGAGACGAAGATAAAAACACAAAAACAATGGAGGCAAAGGAAGTAAAGAGCTTTAACCCTGTTTAAAGTTCCTAATTCAGACAGAACCATATGTTAATCTAATATTACAGCGTTTTCCTGCTCAAACTAATTAACAAGCATTTCCTAAGCTGAAGTAGTTGGGTTAGAGCAAGTACAACACTAAAATTTGCTAAAATTGGCCACTGTGCTAACAAGTGGTATACAACTCTGACCTCACTGCAATTACATTCAACTAAACTCTTTATAAAATGATTCAGTGCATCAAATCTCAAATTTCACAATGATTTGATTCAATTTCTGTCAGTTATTTTGTGGCAATTCATAATTTTTAAAAATCCACAGTACACAACTATGACTGGAGGACCTATTTCCATAGTTCCTTAGTAAAAACAATATACCAAGCTTCTGTTGAATTTTCTATACTTGAAATTTGCCCGAATATTTCTAATTTAGCCAAGAAATAATGTGCATATTCCAATGAACACTATTAGAATTGATAATAATGGCAAAGAATTGACATATTTGATTCTTCACCTTCAGATGAACGCATTAGTACACCACCACTGCTAACCTACAATGGCTAAGCCTACCCCGTGTGTGGTCTCGCCCGGTTCTGGGTGGCCCACGATGTCCGTCGGGCGTCTTTCTATAGGGACGTCTCCGCTGCCCTCTTCTGTGGCCATGATGCCGCAGCCCACCCCCAACACCAAGCCCTGTCAAAACTGCACTTCTTGAGCCTTGTTTAGTATCGTTCAGCTCTTTTCAAGTCCAAAACCACAAGGCCTACTCCCAACTTGAGGAAACCAAAGTAATACCAAAAAAAAAATAAATAAATAAAAAAATCGCAGACACTCCTACAGGGGATAACTAAAGTATTTTAATGTGAGGAACAAGAGAAAATCAAGAAGAAAAAAGAAGGTTGCTACAGCTCCACCCCATGACTTCCTGAACATAGAAAGAGAGCAAGAGACACACAGCACGCATGCAAGAATCAAATGTGTCGCAAGACTCCAGCTGTTGCATTGATCTATGGCAGCAAGCAACGGAGATACAGTTACAAACTGTTGAATGAACAATAACAGTGAGAATTTGTCACATTAAGGGTGCTAATCCAGGATTGTGCGCATGTAATCCTGTTAGTTTGATTAAAAGGTAGTACATTATTGTAGATCAGCACTCTTTTGGCAAACAAGTCTGTTTCAGGTCCCTAAATGGCAGAAATTAATCTATAGCTCTTAAGTCAATAGTGCTGTTTAACTCTGCATGGTACAAACTGGACGGAAATGATGTAAGCACTAGGACTCCATTGATAAATCAGTTAGCCGATAATATCAGCCAACACTGAGGAGCAGTTTTATCAGTATTGGTGAAAACATCAAGCGTAACCAGTAATTACTGACTTTTTTTGGTTGCAACATCAACAGAATTCAAACATGCTATCTCCCAATGGCAGGGCAAAACAAGACAACAGCTGCTAGAGAATCTAGTGTAAGTCACCACCTGTTTAACTACAAGACAGCATTACAGGCTGAAAAGGTGAATCTGAACACAAAACACAATCACAAAAAATTACTTAACTTTAACTTAAGCATTTGCATAAAATACCAAAAAACTTCGTATGCAGAACAAAAGGAAAAAAAGAAAAAACAAAAGTAATATATAACTGCAAGTTTCTGCGCTGGTCTGAGTGGATCAGACACAGCAGTGCCGCTGGAGTTTTTAAATACCTCAGTGTCACTGCTGGACTGAGAACAGTCCACCAACCAAAAATATCCAGCCAACAGTGTCCTGTGACCACTGATGAAGGACTAGAGGATGACCAATACAAACTATGCTGACACACATGAGCTGCTGTCTCTGACTTTATATCTACAAGGCAGACCAAAACGGTAATAGGGTGGACAGTAAGTGTTTAAAAACTCCAGCAGCACTGCTGTGTCTGACCCACCCAGACCAGGACAACACACACTAACACACAACCACCATGTCAGTGTTACTGCAGTGCTGAGAATGATCCACCACCCAAATAGTACCTGCTCTGTGAGGGTCCATGGGGGTCCTGACCACTGAAGAACAGGGTAAAAGGGGGCTAACAAAGTATGCAGAGAAACAGATGGACTACAGTCTGTAATTGTAGAACTACAAATGCACCTATATAGTAAGTGGAGCTGATAAAATGCACAATGAGTGTAGAAACAAGGAGGTGGTCATAATGTTATGCCTGATCGGTGTAATTTATATACTGGCCGGCCTCTAGTAAGTATGGGGGACCAGAACGTTATTGTGCATATAATCCTATTCACTAGTTTCTTTAATTTGCAGAAGCTTATGGTAACTTTCCACTCTTTTGTCAAGAATTTGGTTTCAGATCTCCAAAAAATACAAATTCCTATTCCTATCAATTCCTATTACTGAACATTTAGATTAGCTTGAATGATCATGAGTTCTTGAAGCAATACTTGCAGACTGGACTACACTGGAGTGAAATCCGATTGATTCTGTTCAACTCAAACACCGGAAAACCTCCTGAATGAGAGCTGTCCGTCTCTTACGTCCATTGGTTGTAGTTTGGAAAGGGCTTATGCCAGTTTGAACCACACATTTTCTCCTTAGCCCAACTCTAGCCCATCAGCCAAGATATGTTTGGTGTCTGTTTGCTGAAGCTAGAAGGCTAATGTAGCTAACAAGTAATGAAAGATTATACTATACCAATTAGCATCAGTCTGCACGTCTTAAATTGTCTCAAGTTGTCCAGTCATCTCAAACAGACTTACATATGTGGTTGCTGGCACTGTAAGTTAAACTGTTATCTACAAAAATGGATAAGTGCCAACAAAAGTCAGGCCTTGAGATGGCTTCTCTTACTGCTTTAAGCTATATGACCTACTTTCCTCCATTTTTAAATATAAAGTATATCAAAACCATTCCAATGAGCACTGCTGACTTGGTTGAATTGTTGACTGGTTTACACCAGATTAGTGGAACCACAAGTCTAGGAGGTAGCTTCTCAAGGGTTCCAGCATCTGACAGGATACAGCTGCTTGTAAAACCTAGAAATCCAATGGGAAAGTACTTCCAGCTTGGTGTTGTAAAATATCTGAGGCAATGGAGTATAGTCTTCGACTGCAGACAGCACACGTCAGCATGTACACCAAAGTCTGTGTCATGCTTTTGCCTGGTTAGGCTTACACTTACGTTGCATCCAAAATCAAGTATTATATCCTACACCCATAGCAATATATACTATTCTCCAGTTACTATAAGTGAGTATGAAAGATTTCAGAGAGACTACATCACAGATAGCAACCCAACAGCCTTGTGGACTTTAACATTCTGTTTAACATTTTGTTTTCAGCTTATATTTGATGCATATCATGAAAAAAAAAAAACAACTGTTCCTTATTGTTTTTAAATTTATGTAGTATTTAAACATGTTCAAGTTTAAAACGCTTCAACTCACTTGGAAACTAAGCTTTGACAACAAACTGTTTTGAATTCATTGATTTTGTGATGTCATAAAAACCAATGCATTTACATAATCAACCTATACAGCTGTGTAAAGGCAGCATTCACACTGAAGTCATGACGAGCATTTTAGCCCGGACTGCTTTTAAAATGAGGTATAATACAGGGTACCCAATCAGAACATTTACATATATTGGCCTCAAAAGCACAGCAACAAAAACAGCCTGCTTAATCTGAAGGGCTACAAATCCAAGAAAATTGTACAATATATGCCACTTAAAACACTGAATAGATTAAGGCTGGAAAGCTGTTATGAACTCCATAAAAGCCCAGGCTTATTATATCCTAAGGCTTATTATTCAGTAACTACATGGATTACAATGCAAACTGAGCTCTCGGGTGTTGGAAGATTGTAATAAAGATTTTTGGAACTAGCAGCGTATCTTCACCATCTAAAGGGTTAAGAAAATCTGACATCTTCCCAAAGTTGACAAAGTTGACCAAAGCCATGCACCTCCATACTGCTGGAACTATGGGGCTGAATAGTTTCGCTCACTTCTAGCTCTGAGTGCATGTAGTAAGGCATCAAGGGAGTTTTTGTCTACAACTTAATAAAGACAGTTTCGGCTAATGTTTTTAGGGAACTATTTACAGCATGTAATCTCAAATATGACTCCCTTACCAGGTCTAAGCTTAACTGAAAAGTGTTGCATTTCCTTGATGATACACAAGAGGGCACTTTCAATGTGAACACTCTTGAGGCTCCCTGGGCAATTCCTGTCAGTTTAATGCAACGCTTTCTATCAGCAGCAACTTATCACAATGCTGCTGTCACTGCTTAACAGCGAGAGAGGATGCAGAGCAGAATAAGGGACAAGAAAATGAGAGGATGAGAGGAGACGGGGTGAGGACAAAGAAGGGGAGCTCAGGACGACAGCACACCAACAGAAAAGAGCGACACAGGAAAGGAAATAAAGAAAATGGGAGAGGAAAAGAAGGCAGGAGCAAGGAAAAGAGGCAGGAAATGATAGACAAGAGGTGCTTTCATGATAAAACTGGTTTGCTGGGTTGTGTGAGGAGAAAAAAAAATAGGTCCATTTTACGGATGGGGCAGTTACTGGTTTTAATTATGCCTCCCAACATACACTCAAACTAAGAATTTCAATAATTCCAAAAATCTGATTACAGTCTTTTTAAAAAGTCACAGGATGTGAAATAATTGTAACTGATTTCAAACATAAATAAAATCTAAACTCAGCCTATAGCCTAAGTGTGGAAAACACTGCTATGGACAGCCTCTCTCATTAGTGGGTTCAACTATTTCAGTCACACTCACTGCTAACAGCTGCATAAGATCAAGTATTCAACAATACAATCACCACGTACACACTGGCATTAAAAAGTGTGTGTTAAATTTAGCACTGTCATGTTTACCATCACTGTCACCTTTCCAAAATGTCAGTTTATCAAATCTCTGTCGTGTTAGAGCTGCTCTGGTCAACTGTAAGCGCTGTTATAATGAAGTGGAAGAATCGAGCAGTAACAACATCTAAGCCGTGAACAAAGCTCATACACTAAGTGCTACTGCCGAGTAAACACAATGAAAAAATGGCCCACGTCCAAAGCAAGGTCCACAAAGAAACGCGAGTTTGGTGTGGAAGAACCTGACTGGCCTACAAAAAGCACTGACATCAACTCCATCCAACATCATTGGGATGAGCTGGAACACTGATTGTTAGCCAGGCCTTATGGCCCAGCATCAGTGGTCTACTCTTGTGACCGAAAGGAAGAGAATCCTTTCAGTAATGTTCCAAAATCTAGTGGAAAACAAACAGGACACACAGTAAAAGTATTTACATATTCAAAGTATTTCTAAAAATAAATTGTAATCATACCAAAATAATCAAATCGATTCATGGTGCTAATTCCTGAGGCATTGAATTTTTTCCTAAAGAAAAGACAGTTATCATGAAAGGAGAGATTTACATTTCTATTGAAATTGGTCACTGTTTGTTTTGTAGTTATTGCACGCATGACCCTTTTATTTACTTTAGATAGTTAGTTACTTGAATCAGCAAGTCACTGTCCATGACCTGAGCCTTGCAGAATACTTGAGCCCTTCCAATGCAGTCCATGTATTAACTGTTCTACTCTTTTTTTAGAGTATCAGTTATTTTGCATGACTTTTTACACTAAAAAGCCATGCTCATTTTTTTACATATTATTGAGCCCTTTGTTTTAAATAAAATGCATACAAACAATGTCACATCATGCTTATATGATTTTTACAAGAAATGTCACACATTCGTTGCAAGGGCTCAATTACTGCTGGCCTTTGGGTAGGGGTCTTCGATGGGTGTTTAACACTCACACTCTGTCTGCCCCCACTCGGCCCTAAATTGACCTGAACACACAAATCAGTCAC